TAGCCGTATAGAGGGTAATTGTATAAATGGAATGGATTTACAAGAATGGAAGAAATTCAATCTCCTACTTCAAGAAAAATTTACACCAGAGAACAGAAAAAGGAACATTTGAACCAGGACAACTGAAAATGAAGTTTAATCCATTTTTCTGGTTCAAATTTGCGCGATAATTAACAGATTGCCGAGGAAGTGTAATCTGTTACTTAATCAGAACTATTCGTGAAATCGCGTAGTATAAGCAAACGAATTTCCATGTTTTTGCCGAGCGAAGAGTACACAGACTATGGCTCACTCGACCACACATCACTTAAAAGTGGGCACATCTTTATCTACATTATTTATGAGGTAATTATTAGCTATTTAACATCATCATCCGACGAAATGACAAGGAATTAGGATAAAACTAATAGAAATAAACCTGAATCATTATGGACAGTGATGATCCATAGTGTTTTGAAACGCCGACTGGGCATAAAGTTTAACTTGTGGAGGACTACGAATTAGTCAGATTCAGTGACCTAAACTCCTCACAAAAGTATTCGACGTGGGATTTAACAATAAAATAGTTGTTTGTATGTCTACTATTTTATCCGAATTCTTAGGCTTACAACTGTCGACTAGGGAGGTATGAGAAAATAGTAGCAACGATCAAACCATGCTTTCATAACTTGAAACGTCACTTCAAAAGACCCCCAAGAAGATGGAGAGTTAGGTGTTGTTGTGGAACACGACTACATTTTCAAAAGCCATAATTTATTCAACACAATAATCTTTTGTTTCTATGCATTTCATTCTAATAACTAGGAAACAAACAGTGGTATTTGTATAAACTCACCACCATAAATGTAACCATTGAATATATCCTGAGTGTATTAATATACTTGTACAACTTCGGCATAGTGGTAATAGGCTGTTCTGGATTACTTTATTTATTGGATAAACCACAGTGAAAGTGTATTATTTTTCCACTAAATAATGCTGTTTTACTGTGATATACCTAATAAACAAATCAGTATCGAATTACTTCTGATTTGTCAAATAATTTTGATTATTTACCTGTTTAATAGGATGTTACTTATGAACCATGTTAGAGCGACTTACGGTAGAAGCGTCGTTCCATTTAATAAATAAAACTCACAATTACACAACAAGAAATTTGTGGTTCTACCTTGAATAACTTTTACAAGCTTTTTTGGGACTGAAATGGCGCTTAATTACATTTGTACCAAATTGGGTTCAAGGACACTTAAACTCATTTTTATCACAGATATATGCGCTTGAATTCTGAGTACCTAATACTTATAAAGTTAAAGAAGCTAGGTGCGATGATGTAGATTGAAAGCAGTTCTAAGTACGCCAACAGTGTAAATATGATGAGTTTACAGTGAAGAAAAAAGTTAGTCATGACTGAAACAATGCTGAAGAGTACCAGTCGATGCTGAACTAATGAATAAAGTGCGGAAAAAATGTAATGTAAAACGCCAGGTGGTGCTAAAAAACAGCGCATATATCTGTTTTATGCGTAATATGACTCCATTTCGGCACAATTTTAGCACAGACACAAAGTTCAGGAAAATTTTCCAGCATTAATAAATACTGGTATTAATAAAGCCTGCAAGTACACTTAAGCCAATCTGCAAGGCATAAAAGTTCAAAATGTACAAAAAAACTGCTTGTGAAACATAAGCTAAAAAAGTTGAATTAGTGACATACCTAAGAAATGGTGTGTGATTCATATCATGGTCAAATAATTTATTCGCTCTTAGGCCATCTGAGACGATGAATATGACATGTGTTGCAGGAGCACTGATATTAAGAGGAACCAGATCCGAACCATGAGTTAATGGCGAAGTGTAATAAATATCAAATATAGAATAAAACTGCACTAAATATATGAAGACTGAGACGCAAAACTCAAACACCTGAGACATGACCTTCAAAACGAATTCTCGCCTGTTCAACCAAGAATTCAAAATCCAATGTCAAGTTCTCCAATTTTCGTGTTACAGCTGAAGTAAACTAAAAGGAATTAAGCTTTCAAAGAGTGAAATTTAGGCTAGAAATTTTATAATGCCTTATGCAATTTTGTTTGTATTTTTAAATGCAAAAAAATGTAGAAGGAAAATTCAAGGGATAGGATATAAGGTGTGAACATTAAATACACCTTTACTAGGCAGGAACTGCAACAGTGAACTAGTATGGTTCTTCTGTAATACAGAAATACAAGATTCTGCACTTACATATTATTTTTGTTTATCAGGTGTATCACAGTGAAACAGTATTACTTACTGAATGACGTTTCGAACACAATTTATTGTTCATAATCATATATGTCACAAAGTGATATATCTAATGAACAAATTAATATGGAATTACGTACTACCACAGTTCCCAAGTCCTACACATATGTTATTATGACTTATGGCCTTCCTGTCCGAAGACTAGTCAATAAACAAAAGATTCGACACTCTCTCATAAAAACTATGTAATTAAACGACCTAACCGCATTAAATTGTAGTGCAGTTTCCAACGTTTTAAGAATTCCTTTTAACATGTACGCTCTCAGATCGTCTCCAACGCTATTTTCGCGCTTTTCCGCATTGCTTTGAAGGCTTACTTCTTTTGAGTTTGTAATACAGCCGTATTCATTATATGATTTCTAGACCTTTTTCCCTGGATAATCTTTGTAATTACTGCTAATAAGAGCACACTCCCTCAGTAACCGGGTCATTTTAAATTTTGTTTGTCGTCATTACTTACAGGATGGGTAGAGTACTGAATTATTGGATAACTAGGCAAATTACGTTAAATAATATATTATGTATATATAATATTATAATATATTACACTTTTAGACGCTCATGTACACCGAATTAATTTCTTTATTATAAAAGATTCTATATTGTTTTACGGCACCTTCTTCCCCCTTGGAATGATATAATCAACACGAATGTGACAAGCACTTTCATCACATAATAATCACTTTATTCCAAAGAATAATAATTATACGGAATGGAATTTTCAGCGTTCTTGTACATATTGCAACAGTTAAGCTCCTCTTATAAATATGTACATACGTAATATTTTAAATATTAATAATGAAACCACTACAAACAGAACGTTGGTGAAAAAATAATGAAGTATAAGTAGATAGTATCATAGATAATACATGTCATAATAATAATCTTTACTTACTACTTTGCAGTTCAGATTACTAATTTTAAAAGTTTCTTTTCTGACATCTGACTCTTCACACAAAACCACTGCTAAATACGGTACGGTAGAATTTTTATATTTACTTGTACAAGCGTAAATTATCATGTAGTTTTTTTCAGTTTTACCTGAAGATATGCAAGGCAAAAGTGAAGAATGAAGAGAACGTTCAGTATCAGACGGGATACCTTTGGCCAAATGCTTGTAAGAATTGAAGTGTCTGTTGACAATAATGTCAGTTAGCTGAGTCACAGACAATAATAATACTTTGATAAAGGTATTGACATTAAATAGCAAAACGTCAGCAAAAACATTGTTTTGTTTTACATTCATTGGGTGATACGAAATCTTTTATAATAATGAATATCATGTTCCCAGTGTCCAATTTTTTCAAACTATTAAATGTTAACTCGGTTAGGTTTATATAACGAGTCTATTTCTTTTGGTTCGATTATTGATAATGAGGCAATGATTCCTCATTTTCTGTGATCATCTGCTCAGCTCGTCTTGCCAGTCGCCAGTCAGAAAGCTCTAAGGAAGGTGATATGTGATGTTGATTATATTTAATTAATAGTATACGGTGTGTTTAGCCTACGGTACCCCTGTGACCGATGTTACTCAATTCACCCGCTGATCAAAAAGCAAGTTAACACAAATAAAAGTGGCATTACTACAACAATCGGAAAGTCCAAGGCAAATTCGTAAATTTAGTGAGAAATATTAGTTAACAAATAGTTTAAAATGATGATTATTAGGCAAGTAAGTGAATAGGCATTGTAAGAAGTAGGGTGCGACTAGGGAAGCGATGAGAAAGTCAGCAATATGTTTAGATAAGACTTATTATTAAAGTGTATTGTGGTTCACACCTCAGTTTTATCGGAACAACATTGCATTAGGCACACTGCATGTGTTGCTGCACAGAAGGAATATGTCGTTTACACGGATGCGAATAGCTTCGTTGTTGTATTGAATTTGTCGTAAGGAAATTTACTAGCAATAATTTTTAATGAGAGCATTTTCATTCACTATGAACGCTTGGGCCTTTACGAATAGGTGAAACCGTTGTGTGAATTCAAAAGGCCAGGATTTGAGTAATCACGAAGTGGAAACAGTTCCTTATATTTGTATGAAGTGAGTACGGAAATGCAGTTTGTGCTGAGATTAGGAATGTCCTTTGTCCTATATTGTCAACTCCGTGACAATAATCTTCCTGAACACTGAGCGTCTAAGCATTTCTCTATATACGTCTCCCAATTCGCAAGACAGGGAGTTTCGAACTACTTCGACAGCTATTTTTCAAGCAGCATATTCCTCTTTCAACTATACGAACACCATTTTTAGATGGACGAAAAGCCACACAATTCAACACTCCAAATTCTTTTCATGTCAATAACTGCTTGGGTACAATTATTCCACACACACAATTATACGTAAACGTTGACTTTCATGAGTGTGTTCGTATAGATTTGATGTGTTTCAAATTTGATTGCGGATTGATATCAGCTTGGGATCTATTGAAACCGGGCAGAACTGGAGATTACATAACGATACACCCGCTAACCGGGTGGTTATACATTGGTTTTCAATGGAATCGAACACATTTATCCCTACCTCTTGTGAGACCAGACCAGTATGCAATGCTGTCCTGTGGCGCAACCACTTGAGAGCCCTTTCTCGATGCGTACGGATGATCAGTCTATATTAGTATATATTTTTATTAGTGGACACTTACTAGTAAACAACGTAAAGAATGAAACTTTCTTGCACTCAGAGGCCTTGAAGTCACAATTTGTAACCTGGTAATTGGCGAGCGTCTACGGTAGAATACTCCACAACAGGAATAATTGATCCAGGATTATTTACTATGGTCCAAACAGTCTTCATCACCGCCAGCCGAAGAATTCCGGGGCGATCAAGAGGAAGTTCAGTAACCAAGCTTCCTGTCGAAAAATTACCCTTCGTACTGCCTGATAGCGCGGTGGCGGGTAAGAAGACAGAGGTTACTTATGAGAGCTTCTTTCGTAAGCACGCTGGTGAGCAAGTGGGGCGACGAAACCCAGTCAAACACACGGAAGGAGATTCATCATCCATCACCTTTCAACAGAAGATGAGAAACTTACGAATCATTAGGTATGTAGAGTGCCCACTTTGTTAAGTTTCTTGTCGTTCTGTATTACGATATCGGTAACAGCTTGCTGACTTTCCCTGGTGTTTGTGGTGGGTTTCGTGAGGTATATAGACCCTACAAATGCTCCAACACAGTAATTTCAGAAACCATCTGTCTAGGGAAAAGGCCTTAAAAAACCAACACTCTTAGTCAAAGCTGACTGTTTTGTGTGTGTGTATGTGTGTGCCACGAGCTAAAAGAGCCCGCCATAAATCGAAACTTTGAAGAAGCAGATCTATCACAACTTCTACGTAACCCTAAGGAGGAGATTTAGGATGAGAGTTCGGAGGGATAGAAGACCCTTTCAAACAAAGGGCTACGAAACTGAAGACAAATGTCTCGATAATATACAGAATCACTTTTGCAGGGAAACTTACTACCAAAAGGGCGTACTTTTTTAAAATATCACAGTGGACAGTACCCTATCAATATGAAAGTGTCTGGGGCTTTAGATCTAACTGCAGCGGACAACGGAAGAACATATTGAATGACTTTCACAACATATATATTCTTGTCATCATTCCGTACCTTTCAGATCAGCTCATGCAAACCTGTAACTGGTCAGCAAGGGCCATTTTGCCATGGCCGTGCTAAAAATCCTCAACGGTTATAGTCCTGAAAAGTTACAGTGGATTTCTGCTTGAACCGCCTCACACACTACACAGTTCAAGCACTCTCTGCTTATCATGCTTGCGTATTCATAAATGACTTGATGTAATTTCCAGTTTGCCAAGGATATTACAACACCATGTTCTGTATCAAAGAGTACTTCATAGCTACACGATATCATAGGAATTGTTATATGAAAACATTTGCAGGGCCTAAAACTGTTAATTTCATATAACGATGACACTATTGACAACATAATCACCGGTTATCACAATACAATGCTATCGTGATCAAATCAACTATTTCACATATCCTTGTGCACCATGTGCAAACTGTTCTGAAATCTCTTTCTAAACTACCTGGTCAGTGCTGGCAGTTTAACGATGTGACGGCGGACGAGAGTCTCCAGCTTATCGGCCGATCAAGTTTCCTGTACACTTAGCAGTCACTCGTGCCCACATCACTGATGAAAACTATGACAAGGCTATTTTAAAGCCTTGTGTTAGAAATTTTGTCCTTCCTGGTTCTAACTTTTACTTGGTGATTGTCCAACTATGGTATCAATATAGGTGAATCACAATATCTCCTGCACATCAACCAAAAGAGCCATGAACTTATGTGAAGTCACAGAATCCGGATAAGGATAGGTTCTCTCTAAACCTGCACTGGATCTAGAATCTATGACGAGCTCCTAGAAGTTATAGATGTAGGAGGATGGAAACAGTGCGTACGCCTCCCAACACGACATAACCATATTCTCGACTTAGTCCTCTGCCACAAAACAGAGCCGATCTCGATAGAGGTGGGGGATAAACTGGACAACAGTGATCACAACATACTGTACTGCACCCTACCTCTTCAACTAACAACTAAACACACACCTAACAATTCCCCGGCTCACTATCAATATAGGGACTACAGAAATACCGACTGGGAATTCCTACCAATGCTCCTGAGAAGCTTTGACTGGGATGAATACTTTA